GACAGATTCTGTAATATATAGTCTACCAAGGGACTCAATATACCAGAAAATACCAGTGTTAATACATTAAGAATTCTCTTTTTAGAACTTATCAACAAAAATAAATATAACATAGTTCTTTACACTGACGCGTCAAAGACTGAAAATTCACATATACACATAGCCATATGCACTGATTCACTTTCCTCTAGCATTGACTACAATAATGCTATATCCACCAACCATCCTCTCGTCCAAGATATTCATGACACATATCAGCTTCTTATAAACCAAAATACACCAGTCACTCTGATATGGTTTTCATCCCAAGCGGGATGAAACATACCTACCTATCCCAGTTTATCTCCGAAAAATATGGTAAGAATACAAAGATTGCGTATAGGACATACCTGTCCAATACATGGTTATGTGATGACATCATCTTCACAACCATAATATCAACACTGAAATACGACTCTCTTTGGTGCTACGTTGGTTCGCATTTACCAACGTAAGACGAAGAGAACGACATCATATAATGAGAACAGCTGCAACAAGCAGTGAAATATGTCAGATCTGAAAAACGACACTACATACAGCAAGCCGGATTTATGCAATTCCAAAAACAATATTGCACAATCATTTGACTGGTGTCACGGGGAAAAAATGTTTCATTATACACATAACAAGTTATTCCTATCGAACATGAACGCAATTTAGTCGAAGGTTTGAACTCTAGAAAAATGGGGCTTCGGATTATCAAAACGTGAAGTTCTTATGATTGTCTCTGATTTTGTTACACGAAATAATATAAGAACGCCATTTAAAAACAACATTCCTAGTCATGTCTGGTTCACTAACTTTAAAGCAAGATATAAGTTAAATCTTAAGATATCCCAATAGGTTGAGTCCGCAAGGAAGAAGATGTGTGATCCGTTTTCCATTTATGAGTATTTTAAGCTCTAAAGAACACCCTTGTTACCATGCCAGCTTAAGCGTTTACCCATCTCCAGTGAAGGTGTTAGGAGCCAAAGGTAACCGTGTTCGCGAAGTACTAGCGGTCCAGGTAAGGAGAATCTATCAACATTACCTGCGGCAAATGAATTTGAAGACAAACACCACGCTATATTATCTTTAAAGAAAAGTTTGTATGGGACCAGTGGATAGCAACAAAGGGTCCAGACCATCTTGACATAGCATATGCAGCTACTCCAAACGGCTGGACGGAAACGAAGGTTTACGTCAATTTCTTAAAAGGCAAGGTCAACAAAGGCAAATATTTTTGATATATTATGATCACAGCACTCACGTAAATACAAAAGTTATTGAATTAGCACGTGAAAATAAGATTACCATCCTCAAGTTGCTGCTACACACAATCGCATTTATTACAGCCCTTAGATTTTTCCGTGTTTAAATCCTTTAAACTGAGTGGGACAAAAGGTCGGCAGCGAAAAAAACCAAGAAATGAAAATGTCGAAGCGAACATTTTCTGAGCTTGTTCGTGACGCATGATACAAAGCCAGAAATCATTCAAAGCGGATTTCGAAAAGCAGGAATACTCCCATACAGAAATGATGTTATAGGAGAAGAATAATTTCACCCGACGCCTATAACCGTTGGAAGAAGATGAATAACAAAACTGCGAATCAAGGTGATGAAACCATGGAAGCAACTCTAGAAGATTTACCGATATCGATTTAGTTTAAGGACTTGCTTTTGAAAACAGTCAAACCAATGCCTCGTTTGTGACCGGTAAAGAAAACAAGAGTAGCTATTGGTGCCAAGGTTATAACCAGTAATGATTATTACCAAAAATTACAAAAGAGAAGCAAACAAAAGTATTAAACAGTGCCCAGCACCAGTGGGGTTAAGTATCAAGGAAAAATAAAATCTAGACGAAGAAAATAGCAGAGTTCCAGTTCCAGTTAGATAATGATTTCTTAGATGATGATTTGTTAGTGACACTTAGATAGTGACACTGATTCCAGCGAAAATATTGTTATAATATTGCCAGATCCTGTATAAAATAGAAGAGCGAAATCGTTCCAGTTTAGTGTATCTTTCAATGAACTGAATTTCGAATGCTAGGAAATCTAGGATTCAGATATCTAATGCAGGACAATTATTTCATATGGCAGAAGATCGAGAAACCTTCGCAATGGAGATCCCAACGTCGGATAATTCTGATATGGCACGTGAAGAAGAAGGAAATCTAGCTTTTATATTCTGTTCTTATCGAAAAAATAATAACTTATTATATAGGAAACTAAATTTATATTTCTTATTCGCAGTTGCCCCGTACATAGTGTAATAAGCAAAATGTATAAATGCCACCTGCTATTCCCACCTGCACCACAGTCTGGTGCAAATGAGAATATTCGATCAGATAACAAAAAAATATTGTATTTGATAATGTTTGCATAATTAACACCTGTTACTAAATCAGTACTTATTAGAAAATTCTACTGACTTTATATATTAATTTTGTCATTCTAGAATGCATACTTCAGTTTTAATAGCGGCATAAACATCATCTCTAGAAAAATGCGTTCCCTGACTCAAATTGTTAAAGTTTTTACCAGTACACAAGTGATATAAACATAAAATAGCAAGTGTATAGTTCATAGTCGAGGATATTTTAGAATTATTGGAATGTTCAGAATGTGAAGAAAAAAGAACGAGCACGAGCAGGCGTAGGTGTACTTGTGCGTAAAAAAATTAAAGACAACATAAATAACTGCCGTTATATCTCCGAAAGAATAATACATATAAACATAACAATGAACTACCAAAAATTAAATGTCATATCTATCTATAGCCCCGAGGACTGCAAACCTAAGGAAGAACGAGAGGCAATCTACGAACAATTGCAAAATATCCTGGATGAAATACTTCATGAAGAACCATTAATTCTTATGGGTGACTTTAATGCACGAATCGGAAATGAAATAGCCAGGAGTAAAACAAAGATTTAATGAAAACCATGTCAACGCAAATAGAGAACTCATGGCTAATAGCTGTGCTTTTAACGAATTGACAGTCAATAATACATTTTCGACCATAAGTTCCAGTATAAATATACATTTGAAAACTACAGCAGCTACAGCAGATTTGAAAACTCCGAACTTAAAACTCAGCAGACGCAGGGAGTGAACACAAACTAGTACTAGCAAAAATAAAAATGAAAATAACACCAAAACATTTTCTACATGTAATCACCGAGGAAAAATTCAATGTAGAATCACTGTGAAGCGACTCTACAAGAGAAATGTACCAAATGAGGCTAAAGCAGAAGACAACAACAATACACCATGGTTCAAAAAGAAATAAAAGATAAATATAAAGAGAAACGAAACAAACTACATAAAGTACAAAACATCAAATACTCCAGAATCCCGAGACACCTATAGAAGAATACGAAATGAAACAAAGCAGTTGGTAAGTAAAACAAAAAATGAATACTGGAAATAGTTTACAAAAAGGATGGAAAGCGACTTCTACGTCACCAGGACCAGACGGAATAACCTACGAGCTTTTAAAACACGAAGGAGAAAGTATAATCCTAGAAATGACAAAACTTATACAAAAACTAATATTGTACTGCAAGATACCAGACACATGGAGAAACAGCGTAATGAGTCCAACGCTCAAAAAAGGAGGTAAAGAAAACCCCAACAATTATAGAGGTATCAATCTACTTAACACCGCACTTAAGCTTACCCCAAAAGTCCTAACCAACAAAATCGATAAACTAACAACTTTATTAGATGAACAACAAGGATTCAGATCCGGAGAATCCTACGTACACGCCGTATTTGTATTAAAACAAATCACAGAAAAGGCCATCGAGTACAACCAACCAGCATATCTGTGTTTTTGGGCTTTCGATCGGATCCAAGTCGAAGACGTCTTACACTATATAAAAGAAACATACCAATCAGTATTATACATACCATCGAAAACATCTACTTCCGTAATCGAATACAGGTAAAGATAAATGGAAAACTAACACAGTGTATACCAGTACAAAGTGGAGTTAGAAAGGGTGACTCGTTAAACCCACTTCTCTTTAATATAATAATGAACGAAATAATACAAACAATACGTAAAGGTCATGGTTACAGAATGAGGAACAAAAAATTCAAATATTATGTTATGCAGATGGCGCCGAATTAATCGCCGAGACTGAAGACGAGCTCCAAAGATTAACACACATCTTTAATACAGCAGCCAAGAAATACAATATGGTAATTGATGGGAAAATAATAAAGTATGAAGCAAGGTTTAGATATCTGGGAATAAATATAACTAGTTACGGAGATACTGAAGAAGAAGTACGACAACAAAGCTTAAAAGCAAATAAACCGGCGGGATCTTTTAATGGCACAATCTGGAATAACAAACACCTAAGAGAAGATACAAAAACAAAAATCTATAGAGCAGCAATTATACCTATATTAACATAAACGGCAAAAGACACATAAATACATCTAAAACGAGACGACTACTAGAAACAACTAGAGAGATGAAAATACTCCGACGAATATCAGGGAAAAGTCTGTTGAATAGGGAAAGAAGCGAAAGCATAAGAAGACATGCAATATAGAAGACATAAATGGATGGGTGACAAAACGGAAACAGGAGTGGAACGAACACATCGGTAGAATGGCAGAGAATAGGATAGTACGAATAGCACGAGATAAGTCACCAAATGGACGATAAAGTATTGGCAGACCAAGAAAAAGACGCTGCGATAATATAAACAATTTATTAGGCTAATATTGTAGAAGAAACATGCTTTAAAGCCTACATAAAAGAAGGAAGAAGAAGAAGGGAATGTTCAGTAGTTTGCAGATGTTCGCTTGTAGATGTCACAATTGAAGTAGTTGACGTGTTGTACACTAGGAGCACTATATTAAAATGTACTCTACTGTATACACGAAACTGGTTTTAAAGAATTTATAAGATTTGGTAGTTGTCGTTATTATACGAGACTATTTCTATAAAATAAAATTTACCTGGTTTTATTAAAGCTTGATTTTCTCTGTTATTTTCATTTTCGTTTTCATTTTCAATAGTCTCTACGGCTGCGTCCATTGGTCATTATTTTTCTCATCCAAATATAAAAGATAATGTTTCAATATTTACACTATAAGCAATTAAATCCGAAATCTCAACAAACGTTCACAATAGACTAATAGAGATTAAAATTTTTATGCTAAAAAATCCCCATTAATGCTATACACATTTTAAGATAATAGTGATATGATTTTCCTTTATCTTCCTCAAGGGCGTACCACTCAAGTGGTACGCGGAGATACTATGCACAATAAAAATGCTTAATTTTAGACAGAGAGGCCCACATAAATTTGCATAGCCCAATTAAAGCAGAAATAATTATTAAATTAAGATATTGAAATATTTGCAAATATGTATCAATTTCTTTCGTAAATAATACCAATACCGTAATTAAAATCGGTTCATTCATGATTAGTTGACTATCACACAACATTTAACCTTTTATGAAATATAAGCCAAAAATAGATAGATCTTTACTCAAACGAACGAAAATAGAAGACAAATATCGTGAAATCATTGTTTAGAAAAAGTTCAACAAGAAAAAGTGACGATGGTGAGTTGAATAGAAGCTGGCAAGAATTGGAAGAGTTATTAAAATACGATGGATATTTTTCAACGCGTGTAAAAAGATGAATGTTATTGATACAAGGTAAAGAACCATCCCTACATCAATTTTAGACGATCAAATTATAGCTGGCGAAAAACCATAATAGACCAGGGAAATAAGGTTTCCTTCGTGACACTGATCCGGCCAGGAAAACGATAGTCGTTTTGAGAAGAATTTGAAAAAAAAAATTAAGAAAAGTAAACTTATGTCATATATTAAGCTTCAAAATGACAATTTTTAAGCGAAACTACTATACCGGCATTGAATTACTTTTTTTTTCTCTGTAGTAAAATGCGGAAAGGATCGTTACGGAACACGCCACAAGATAGGGTCATCACGGGTAGCGTCGTAGAAGAGTGGTTCTTAACATCGATTCACTACTGTCAATCAATTCGTTTTTAGTTATCTTATATTTACTCCAAATGGATTTAAATGAAAAACGGCATGAAAAATAACTAAAAAAATATAGCTATAAATGAAAAATAACTAGAAAAAAGCCTTTTCCAGATATATAGGCGTTGAAAAAAAATTAAGCAGCATTTATAGATCATGTTTTCGCTAGTTTACTCTACATTTCCCACAATCGGTATATTGGTGTATTCCCTTTAAAGACATGTTATACATATATTATGTATGAGCTATACTTCATCTAATTTACTTACCGTTGCACGTCATTATCATTGACAGAGATCGAAGTTGACATAGTTGCCAAAGTAATTTAAAATCCTGATTGCATTTTAAATCAAATAGGTCACATAATTATTGCCAAAAGTATTACCATCTCTTTACAACGCGCAACGACTATTTAAAATTCTTACGTGACATTTTTGAAATAAAACACACTAACTTTTTTTTTATATTTACAATTTGCTTCAAACCACAAAAGGGTTATTAGCAATGAACAGTATTGATATCAAATTACAAAGCTTATATTAAATTTAGTTAATGAGTCCTATAGTACGTAAAAAATTGAGAGTCTTAGATGAATTATTTTCACTTAAACAATCTTTAAATGTAGTTGGTAACTGTTGATGTTGTCGTTCTATAACGTAGAGGGACAGTCTATATTTATAATGTTGCACTGTTAGTTCACTATCACACACATAACACATTGGGGGGCTTCCTTCTTTATATATAAGTCATGGGTGATCTTCGTATAACCAAGTCGTAATCTGGACATGAGCACTTGGTCTCTTCTCTTAGTAGGATGTTTCGACGGCAATACATTTTGTTTGATTTTTCTTAATGTAGAGTTTGATTTATTCCAATTTGTTTGCCTTTTGTCATGATCTTGTTCTTAAAATTTGCTTTAGATCAGTATGAACGCAAGTAGTTATGATGTCTGTTAATGGATGCTCACTCGCATTTTTGCTAATATGTCAGCTTTATCGTTTCCAGTTATCTCGCAATGTGAAGGTACCCAGAGGAACTGAACTAATCTTTGATTTTGTTGGGATATCAAGAGTTCCGACTTAATTAAAAAGCAGGACAGGATGTTTGGGGTATATTTGCTTTAAGGCTGTTGATGCACTTAGGAGTCGCTAATGATTATTGAGAATTTAATGTCATGTGTGTTAACAAATTTTAATGACTGGAGGATAGCAAAGAGTTCAGCTGAAAATATGGAAGTTTGGGGAGGGAGCTGGTAGGAACTGTTTAGTTATCTGTTGTGAAAGCCGCTCCTACTCCATTTGCAGATCTGGATGCATCAGTATAAATATGAATGTGATTATTAAAATAATTTAATATCTCTAATAATTTCTGATTGAAGATTTTTGCTGGTGTGACACATTTCTTGAATGCAGATAGGTTTGTATTACAATCAGGGAGAACAATTGTCCATGGTAGCATGCTTTGACTGACTTTAAAAATATTGTAAGTGGGTGGAATTATTGTGTCTAAGCTTTGTAGCGTTGCTCTAACTCGATGATAAAACGGAGGATCCAATCTTTTCTCCCCTATTAAATGTCGATGGAAATCTATCTGTAAATGTGTTTTATAAACAGGTAGCTGTGGGTTAGTTGATACTCTAGAGGCATACATGAGGCTAAGGTATTCTCTCCTAAGTTGTAAGTGATGTTCGCCTGATTCAACATACATACCTTCAACTGAGCTTGTGTAGTGTGCTCCCAGTGCAATTCTAATTGCTGAATTATGAACCGTATCTAGCACTTTTAATAGTGAACCTTTGGCTGAGTTGTAGGCAACAGCACATAATCTAGTTTTGAACGGATTAGGGTTTGTATATAGTCATAAGAGTTTGGAAATCGGCACCCCATTGTTTATGAGAGATACTTTTCATTAAGTTAAGGCCGTTTTTGAACTGACAGACGGAGGGAGTGGATGTGGTCTTGCCAAGATAGTCGGTTATCCAGTTTTACTCCCAAGAAGTTAATCGATTCTGAATACTTTATTGGTAAATTTTTTAGGTAGAGTTTCGGTGGATTTATGTATTTCTTTGGAGTTTTACTGAAAAATCATTGCTTTCGTTTTAGTGGGTGAAAATTCTAGCCATAGTATTAGACCAGTTCTCTAATTTGTAAATGGCTTGCTATATATGGGTCGTCATTGTTGATATATTTTTACCACGACAGAATATAACAAGATCATCAGCAAATAGACGGGGTTTGACTAATGGCTAAGTGACTTAGCGATGTCATTGATGGCAATAAGGAAAAGTACAACACTAAGAGTAGACCCTTGAGGAATACCATTTAATTGGATTTTGGAGTCCTGAAAAGGAAGTTGTCTATTCGAACTTTGAAGTTTCGCCTATATAAAAAATTATTAATAAATTTGATAATATTTCCTTTAATCGACCAACTTGACAGAATTTTTATGATATCTGATCTCCAAATTGTATCATATGCACGCGTTATATCAAAAAATACAGCCAGACATACTTGACCACATCCAAATGACTCATGAATTACGGATTCAATATCCACTATGTTGTCTAATGTAGATCTGGACTTCTAAATCCACTTTGTAATAGGCTAAGTAGCTGTCGATTTTCTAGGTACCACGTTAGTCGGTTGCTTACCATTTTTCAAGTACTTTACACATAATAGAAGTTAAGAGATTGGTCGTAAGACTCTGGGTCCGATTTATTCTTGCCTTGTTAAGAACTGGTACAATAATGGAATCATACCAATCAATTGGAAAACATTATTTGTCCAAATGAAATTATAGAGAGCCAAAAGATATTGTTTGCCTTCCGTTGGCATAGCTTTTAAAAAATGTCCGTAGGTATGTTGTCAGACCCTGGCTAGTTGTCTTTAACTTGTTTAACGTTTTCTAACAGTTCATCCATCGTAAATGTAAACATTTAGAGGTAAATTATTGTGGTCATCAGATTTATACAGGCCATTATTAACTTTATTTTTAATGGACTAGGAAAAATTGTAGATAGATTTTCGTCACTGCTATGTTGTTGGTATACGTTTGCTAGTACGGAGGCTATTCTTGCTTAGTTGAATAAATATGGTTATCATGTCTAGGTAATGAATGGATGTTAAATGATTTTTTTCCCGTACATTCTGCTTATCAATTTGCCAACCCTCAGAAGTCCGAGTAGATGAATTTAAAGATGATACATAGTTTTTCCAAGCTTCTTTCTTACTCTTTTTTTAAGGGTATCTACATAACGCCCGTAATCTTTTGAATTCAAGCTGGTTATTTAAAGTTGGGTGCCTTCTAATTTATAAATGCATTTTTGAATCTTTAATGGCTGCCTCGCAATGAGAATTCCACCACGGGACTGGGGGCACGTTTTTTGGAAATTTTGAATAACCTATGGAGTCGTGAGCTATTGACTTAAAAACTGTACGAAATGGAGTACTTTGGAGTTGATATCAATATCTGTATCGAAGGGCTGAACCAACTGAGAAATTTTTTGTGAAATTAAAGGAATAAAGAGACCAATCTGCATTTTCAAACACCATTTATTGGATGAACTGATGAGGAGATATGGTTATTGTTTATAATAAGGATAGGAAAATGATCACTTCCATGCAAATGACATGTTACATCCCACGACAGAGTTGGTGTTGTAAGACAGAGTCCACAAGGGATAAAATCTATTGGTGACCCATTTCCGTGGAAATATTGAACCTTGTGATTCTTCCATCGTTAAGGATATTCATATTAGAATCGTAACAATTTGTTCGATTTTACGTCCCAAGGAATCTGTGTTTTTGCCTCCCCAAAGTATATTGTGAGCATTAAAATCACCTAGTATAATACGCGGTTCTGAATTTGATTAAAGAGATCATTATTTCATTATGGACGGGTCTAAGTCCGAGGAAAATAAATATTACATATATTAACTTTGTGTGGGCCTTTTATAGATACTGCTGTTGCCGTCCAACTCAGTTCTTAAACGTATTACTTCGGTATTAAATGAGTTATGACATATATTACTACTCCCCCACTAGCATGGCTAGCAGTTATTCTGTTCTTATAATACGGAGTATAGTTTCTTAAATTATGACAGTTATCTTCTTTGAAGTGGGTTTCTT